GAATAAAAATTGACTAAAATAAATTTCCATGAGCCCAAACTGATACAAATGAATGATTCAATAAATAAATGCTGGAAAGAAACACTCTTCCTTAGAGAGTTCCAAGTAGTAAATAGATAATCAATATTGGAACAGCAGAGAAATAATTGTTGCAAGCAATATCCACCAACAGATACTAAAAGTAATGGATGAACGTTTGAGGAGAAACAGAATATTTGCATAGTGTCAAAGTATCTCCCCTAATTGATTTATTAACTATAAGGGAGAAAATGGTAGCTTTACAGTGGAGAAACTGCCTTAATCAACTGATTAGGGTTAGTATCATTAATAATAAGACATGTTAACGTCACGCACTCCTTGTGAGTACATGCCAAAAATACACAATCAAATCACAAGCTGAGGAATATTCTACAAAACAATTGACTGGTAGCCTTCAAAAATTTTAAAGTCATGAAAGACTGAGGAAGACAGAGAATAGTTTGGAAGAGACTAACTAGATATGACAACTAAATGTGGGATCCTGGATTGATTCCTGAAACAAAAAGGGGGAGACATTAGGGGAAAAACTGGTGAAATTAAAAAAAATACTGAAGCTCAATTAATAGCATTGTGCCAGTGTAAGTATCTTAATTTTAATAATTGTATTATGGAAGGCTGTATAAATACATATGTAAGGCTGAGTGAAGGGTGTATTTGTTATTGAGCCCCAGCACATGAGTCCATCTTCCTACATGCACTGACTAAAAGAAATAAGAAGCAGGGATTTGCAGTGGAGAAAAGAAGGATCATGTAATTTATTATTATATGATTGTCCAATCTGGACTATAGCTGAGCTCATGCTCTTAAAAGACCCAGCTCCCTAGTGGCATATAAGTTACAGATTACATAGGGCAAAATCACAAGACACTGTTGGTTAGAGGTTCCAGTCCTGTTAGGAGCTGATGAGTTGGAAGTAAAATAAAGGTAATAAATCATTTCTTTATGTCTTAAAGACAGCTCTGAGGTCTGCTCCAGTGTCAGTATGTCTGTCTGTCTGGTTTCATGGAACAGTAGCCAGAGGGTCATCCCACCTAAGGGCTCAGGAGCTGTAACAAAACTTAGGTCAAGATATTATCTTTAGCCGGCCAGAGCTCCAGAGCTTGTGACTGTTAGGTCTTCTGCAGCCTCAGGGGTTAATGATTATTGGAAGGAAAGCCTGGGTCTATGTAGAGAGAGTGTAAAAAATGATTTCTAGTCCTGGCTGGGATAGCTCAGTGGATTGAGCACAGGCTGAGAACCAAAGCATCACAGGTTTGATTCCCAGTCAGGGCACATGCCTGGGTTGCAGGCCATAACCCCCAGCAACCGCACATTGATGTTTCTCTGTCTCTCTCTTGCTCCCTCCCTTCCCTCTCTAAAAATTAAAAAAAAATTTCTAAAGCTATGGTCTCAAATCAAAGCACAATCATGAGGACTCTCGATTTCATATGGCAGCTCACTGTACTGTTTTGTAATTCTTCTGTAAGTCTGAAATTATTTGAAAATGAAATTTAACAACCATAGTGTTTCTAGTGAGCAGCCAAGGATGATGAGAACCACTATGTAGTCTTTCTACTAATGCTTCTCAAATTTTAACATGCATACGAATTACCTGGAGACTCTTGTTAAAATGCAGATTTTGGTTCGGTAGGGAATAGGATACAGTCTCAGAGCCTGAATTTCTAATAAACTCCTGGGGAATGTGATGCTGCTGATCTTAAGACCATAGTTTAAAAGCATGAAGTATCACTTTTCTGAGGCACAAATTTGTTTGCAAACCCTTTGAAGCTTGTGTGTGGGCACTAGGTACTCAGGCAATGAGCAATGTTGTAGACTGCTTAGTGGTCAGTCTTACTCTTTTCTTCTTCTGGTGATAAACAAGGTAATTCTCTTGAAATGATTTACATTATTTTAGGGCATAGTGTCAGGTTATAGAACCAGTATCTCCTGCAGTGCAAGGCCCATGTGGTGGGCAGGATAAGAAAACCTTGCTGAATATTCAATAGGAATTGTATTAAGCCTGTGCACTGATTTGGGGAGAGTTACCATTTTGACTATGTTGAATTTTTTAAATCCGTGAACACAGCAGGTCTCTCCATTTATTTAAATCTTTGATATCTTCCACCAGCATTGTGGATTTTCCCCCATACAAATCCTAAATAGGTTTTGTTAGATTTTCATCTAAGTATTTCCTTTTTGGGGGGGAGTAGTTATAAGTAGTACACTTGACCCTCCGTACCCACGGGTTTCACATCCATGGATTCAACCAACCACAAATCAAAAATATTGGAGAATGGCCCTGGCCATGTAGCTCAGTTGGTTAGAGCCTCATCCCAATACACCAAAGTTCTGGGTTTAATCCCCAGTCTGGGCACATACAAGAATCAGCTTGGATCCGTGGAGCAACAAGTCAATGTTTCTCTCTTTCTCTCTCAAATCAGTGAATGGGGAAAAAAACCCTGTTATGTTGTTGCTGATGTATATGAGGTAGTTAGGCCCAAGATGGTTGCTTCTGTACTGAACATGTGTAGGCTCTTTTTCTTGTTATATTCCTTAAACAACATGGTATAACAGTTACTTATACACCACTTACATTGTAAATGTAATAAGTATTATAAGTAATCTAGACATGATTTAAAACTTACTGGAGGAAGTCTGTAGGTTATACGCAAACACCATTTCATACAAGGGACTTGAGTACCTGAGAAGTTTTGTATCTGCTTGGGGAAGAGGTGTGTCCTGGAACCAATCCTCTTCTCAAGGAACCACTATTTTTATTTTTTAGTGGGTAAGTGTTCATTGATAATATAGAGAAATATAATTAATTTTTATGTTTATCTTGTATCCTGTGAACTTGCTGAATTTGCTGAACTCACTAGTTTTAGGAGTTTTCTTTTATAGATTCTGTAGGATTTTCTACATAGCCTTATCACCTCCATTTCAGTCTGTATGCTTTTACTTATTTTGTTTGCTTTATTGCAGTTGCTAGAACTCAACAGTACTATGGTGATAAAAAGTGGTGAGAGTGAAATCCTTGCCTTATTCCCGATTTTAAGGTGGAAGTTTAGTCTTTCACCATCAAGTAAGATGGATGTGAGCTGTAGATTTTTTGGTGGATGGTCTTTATCAGGTTCAGATAACTCTGCTGTTCTTAACTTGAAGAGAATTTTTTAAAGTCATGAATGGTGTTGAATTTTGTAAATGATTTTCATGTTTCAATTGATATGATTGCATGATTTTTCTTCTTTGGCTTGCTGATATGGTGGATTACACTAACTGATTTTCAGATCAAGTTGAACCAGCCTTGTATACCTATAATAAATCTCAGTTGGTCATGGTGAATAATCCTTTTTATGTATTATTGGATTTAGATTGCTAGTATTTTGTTAACAATTTTTGCATCTAAATACATGAGATAGATAGGTCTATAGTTTTTTTGTTTTGATTTTTAAACTATATATTACTACCTTTGTCTGATTTTGGTATCAGGGTAATCCTGGGTTCATAAAATAAATTGGAAAGTATTTTTTCCTCTCTATTTTATGGAAGAGATTGTGTAAAATTAGTTTTAATTAAAAAAAATTCAGTAGCATTCTCCAGTAAAACCATCTGAGCCTGGAGTTTTCCATTCCAGAGAATTATGTATTATAGCTTTACATTCCCTACATAGTTGATGAGAAAAATGTTTTATTACTTTACCAGAGAAACAATGTCAGAAAGGACCATGCCCCACCCTTTCATGCCACCTCACTGCAGCTGGTCCTTGTCACTCCTTGGGTGATTTCAAGGTAAGGGATGGAGAGGACAGGAGGCCCCCCCCTTGTGGGTACCCCAGGTGTTTCCTCACAAAGTAGGCCATAGATGCTGAGGGTGGGATGGAGGTGCATCATCAAGGTCCTACACTAGAGAATAAGCAGGGGAAGCAGGTGGGGCATCCCTGGCAACCCCCATCCTCTTGTGGTCATGGAGCTTGATAACAACAGGTGCCAAATCTGGAGACAGACACCAAGATGAAAAGGCCTGGGTGAGGGCTCCTACTGTGCTCTCGATGTTATCACTGCAAGTGTAACAGCAAGGGGAGGCAGGTGTTAGGCATTAAAAAAGAACGTTTGAAATTGGGAAAGAAGAGAAGCCAGACTGCACTTTGGGTTAATACACAGGATGAGCCCCAGGGCTGCCCAAAATTCTTATAAGGGCATGTTCAGCATTACAGGCCTCTTCCATTGTGTGTGCAAATGGTAGACCTGCTGTGTGCATACTTGGGCACACCACACACATGTTTGAGCAGATGCTTGTGTCCCAGGCTGGCTCAGGTATCTGCAATGTGTCTGGGGCTGAGTCTCCAAGGGGGCTGGGTGCCTATCTGGATTGGACTCCCTGAACGGCAGACCAGCCTGTACTTCTCAGCTGGGAGCTGATGCCCATTCAGCCTTGTCAGGGAATGTGAAGGCGTGTGCTTCAGATGACAGTAGCAGGAAAGGGAGGTGCTGAGGAGCTGGCAGGAGCCTGCATGGGTATAAATTCCATGAAGAGGTGGAGGGGTCAGGTTTATTCAACTTGCTTAAGGTCACATAGTAAGTGGCAGAGTCAAGGCCTGATTGTAGGTTGATCTGATGTAAGAGTTATAAGCAATGTGCCTCAGTTTTGTCATGTGTGCAATGGAGAAAATAATAGTCTTTACCTCCCAGTATGGTCATGAGGATTAAATGAGATAATCATGTAACAATCTAGCATATGGTCTAGATAGAACATGGTAAGTGCTCAATAATATCAGCTATTATGAGTATGAATATTAATGTGCCATTTTATCACCAAAGGCAGAATTGCAATGATAGAAAAATTTAGTATTTGTACAAGTATGTTGATTTTAGAGGTGTTTCTGGTTCATGGACATATGAAGTCTCATTAGAAACTAATTTAAAGATGTGGCATTCCTCCAAAATGAGCCCATCTGTCAGCTTGCCCATATGCCTTGATCCTAGATGGAGTTGCTCTTCTGCCTGCTCCTCAGAACCTCTCTGTACAATCAATCAACATGAAGCATCTCTTGATGTGGAGCCCAGTGACCATGCCTGGAGAAATAACACACTATTCTGTTGAGTACCAGGGGTGAGTTGTTAGTTCTATGGAGTTTTTCCTTTAGTTTTTCTCCCTTAGACAGCAGTTTATTGCTGGAGGCACAGAGCTCAAGGAAGCTTTGTGAGCCCGGGGATAGATTATCTCCAGTGACTGGCTGCCTCTGTCTTCGCTGGCATTGGGAGAGTTGAAGAAGCAAGGAAAATTGTCCTGTGTATTTGACAGTGAACTCTCCGGGAACCCAACTGTGTATAAAGGCATTTTGGTGGAATTTCTTGTCAATGGTGAATCAGTTGTCCAATGCTGAAGAAAATCTGAAGAAATGAGTTTGACTCTGACTTCAGGTGGATAGGTCACTGGAGACTCAGATCCTTGGGGGATGGGAGAAACCTCAGTTTTCCTGTTTATGAGCCAAAACAAATTGTGACCCTGGGGCCATGCAGGCTCTGCTCCTCTGCAGGTGCTCAGGCCCTCAGAGCCATTGAGTAGCAACAGGGAAACAAAGGTGCTCAATATATTTAATCAACAATAAATACAAGCTGAGCACCCACATGTATAGACATTCTTCTAAGCTCAGGATACAGTCAACAAGGTTCCTGGGTATAGGGAGCTTATATTTAGGGGAGAAAACAGCCAGTAAAAATGTTAAAAAAAAACAACCACCTAGATCTACACTGTCTAGTGTGGTAGCCACTAGACACAGATAGCTATTTAAATTAAATGAAAATGTCTGTCTTCCAGCCACACTAGTCACATTGCAAATTCCCAATAGCCACATGTGGCAGTGCCTACCATATTGAACAACACCAATTTAGAACATTTCCATCATCACAGCAAGTTCTACTGGGCAGCACTGCTCTAGGTAACTTCAGATAGTTATCATTGCTGGGAGGAAGCTAAAAGGCTGATGCAAAAGACAGTTGACTCTGTGGCTTCTTTTCATTAAGCACTCAGGGAAGGCCTGTCTGAAGAGTGATATTTAAGCCCACATCTGAAGAACAGGAGGAGCCAGCCAATGTGAATAACAGAGACAGAGAATTTGAGACACAGTGAACAGCTAGTCAGAGGTCCTGAGGTAAAGAGCTCAGTGAGGAGAGCAGTGTGGAGGAAAGAGCATGCCATGTGTATGGGTGGAGTGAGAAAGGCCAGGGGAAAGAGTTTGGATTCTATTCTCAGTGTCTTAGAAGCCATTAAGGATAAAAATGTCATGATTTCCTGGGTGATGAATGGTTTGAAGAATGGCAGGAGTGGAAGCTGGAAAATCAGTTGGGAGACCATAGCAAGGCAATGGATGATAGTAGCTGAGATTGGGGTGGTGACTATGGAGATGGAGGGACCTTGAGGTTTATGCCCATGTTTCCCTTCTTTGGCCATAAAAGGAGTAAGGAAGGATGAATGGTTGGTCAGGGAGGAGGGTGGAGGAACTGGAGTGTGGAGCAAATGTTCATTTTGTTGACACATGAGAAGCAGGTGAATGAGGCAGTTACTTGCAGCCATCACTGAGCCTGCATAGAAGGGGCTGGTGTAACACTGTGCCTTCCTCTCTTTGGCCAGAGAGTATGAGAGCCTGTACATGAGCCACGTCTGGATCCCCAGCAGCAGGTGCTCACCTACCAAAGTTCCTGAGTGTGACGTTACTGATGACATCACTGCCACTGTGCCATACAACCTCCGTGTCAGGGCCACCCTAGGCTCACAGAACTCAGCCTGGAGCACCCTGATGCACCCTTTTAATCGAAACTCAAGTAAGATATTTCTCTCTGTGCTCCCCCACTGCCACCAGACTTCCCCTTCAGGAAATGTTCTCTGAGGTTTTCAGGATTCTTTTTAGCATTAAATTAGTCTTGCAAAACCAGAGTACTATGAACACAAACAACCCTAACTGGTTCATTTAAAACAAAAATGCCAACTGCTTCCCACATGCCCTCTTTCTCATTTCTACACATGGTGGGAATGCTGACATTGGGAAGCTGCTCTGGAAGTGGGGAAATGGGGCAAATATATGACTTTTTTACAGAAACAGTACCTGGAAAATGATTGAGAAGAAGTAAGGGAAGAATACAGATAGGTGGCCAACGTCGGCAGAGCACAAACAATGGCCAATGTATAAAAAGGTGTGTGTATTTGGGAGTAGCAGGAGCAAGGACTGAATGGCCAGTGGGTGAGGTAGCAGCTGGTCACATGGTGAAGGACTTTGATGTGAAGGTGATCAAACCAGTAGAGGGAACCATGGAAAAAAAGAGTGTCTAGACCAGATTTGTCTTACAGAACCATCACTCTGGCTGCTGTGCAAAAGGGCACTGGAGTAGGTCAAGAATAGGTCAACAGGGGAAGAGTGAGGAGGGTGTCTTGAGCCCAGTAGAGAGGGAAGGGAAGGGAACGGATGGGGAAGAGAGGACAAATTTGAGTCATGGATGAGTTAGGACAGAGCTTGAGGACCAGTCACTGGGACAGACAATGATGGTGTCCAGCTTCCACCTGGGGTTGGCAAGAGTGTCATCTAAGGCAGAGAACCCAGGAGGTGATATGGACTCTGACCAGCGGTGTCTGTGATGTTGTGGATGTGATAAACAAATTCACACGAACTGCAGAAGTCCTGTGGAGAAAAAGGGATATCATGGCCATTCTCTAAGTGAGAGAGTGCCCTGACCCTTGCCTGGACAGGCTTTTATTGCTTTTCTGGGAGCATTATCTCAAGGAAGGTCTTCATTCATCATTATCAGGCAGTAATGATCAAGCAATAGATAACACTCAAAGAACTATGAGGGTTTATTCTGAGTCAGGGTCAGTTAGCTAAAGGGCCATAAAACTTTGGGAAACAAACTCATTTTTATGTTTGGACCCTTATTGGAAAATTGAGGACATTTTTAGCAAAGCAGGTTTCACAGGATTTTATGCATTCTTTTTTAGGCCTGATTGCCCTGAAGAACCTCCCATTCCTGTCCAGGGCTGTACTGCCCTCCAGCATTGTTTCAGGCTTAAGTCAGGTAGGAGAAGTAAGGCAGTCAAGAAATTAGGAGACTTCTTGCAGGCAGAATGAGGACTCAGGGTATGTCAAAGTTGAGGGGTGAGGGTCCATCATCCTCTTTTTCTATAACCCCCCAAGTCCTTCCCTGAGGGCCCCTTTGTGACCATGCCTGGCTCAGGTTGTCCTTCCCTTGAGGAATCTTACCTGTCATTAGCTAACTAATCATCCACCCGGGGCCAAGCTGGGTGAAGTAAAAGGGGACAGAGGCAGCTCCCGTATTAGGAAGATAAGCTTCGTCTCCTTAGTGGCTTATGGTCCCAAGGTCTCTTTACTTAGCCTTAGCCATAGGGGTTACAGCTTCTGAAACCAGGCAAGGTGGTTCCCAAGGAGGCTTTAACTAGTCTTGAGAAATAGGAGACACTTCTGGCTTTGAGCTCTTTGACATAGAGATTCCTACAAGATATCATGCCAAGATGTCTGATTGGCACCTGGAAATCAGGCCCTGGGACTCAGACAGGTCAAGGCCAGACACACAGAACAAAGTTAATAGCTAAAGGCTTTGGTGCAGTCCAGGGACAAGATAAAAGAACAGAGATAACTTAGGACAGGATCCTGGTAAACTTCAGGGTTTAAAAAGCAGGTAGAGGGGAGGGTACTGGTAGGTGGGTGGATGGTAGAAAAGAAGAGCTGCTGATAGGCCTAAAGGAGGCCCCTAAATGTGTCCTTGAGAAAATGGCTTCATGGAACAGTGGGAATGGTGGTTAGGCTGCTGAGTGGAGGACTGGGTGAAGGTGGGAAGGAAAAAGGCAGATCCTCCTCTGAGACAGGTATGAGTGATAATGTGATCAGTCTGAAGCTGCAAGAGAGGCAAGGGGAAGGCCTTGGTGACCTCTTGTTGTTTTGGTGTGACAGAAGATCATCAGTTGTGAGGACAAAGGAAGGTTAGGAGCAGCATGGACAGTAATGGGATGAGTCAAATGTTACTGGGCAGGGTATGAAATTGGATAGAAATCAGGAGGGTTTAGAAGGTGATGGTGATGGTGGTGGAGAGCCCAAGCTGGAAGCGGCTGAGGAAGTTGAAGACAGATTTGAAGGGGAAGTTGGCCCTCTAGAGTCAGATGGATGTGGTTCAAATCCAGCTCAGCCATTGATAACTGGGCCCTTCCCTGCCTCCTCATCTGTAAGAAAGGCAACAGTTTGCCTCAAAGTATGCTTGTGGGAACTATACAGGATGAAATGTGTAAATGCTTAATGCAGTGCTATCCTGTTATGGTACTCAGCTATTGTTAAGTATTATTATTATTGTTGCCCTAGGTATGCCTAAGTAGAGAGCTACAGCAGAGGAAGGAAGAGGTGGGGCAGGAATGGGACCATTGGAATATGATACCAATAGGAATTTTGAGGCAGAGTGTGAGATTTTCTGCCCAGGCATTGGAAGGATCTAGTAGAAGCAGTGGGATTCCAGCTCCAGGCACTGGGGGAGGCTAGGGGCACTGGAACAGGTTACAACTCTGCCTCTGCTCACAGTGTCCAGGTATCACCCAGCAGCCCCTCCCTCTGGCTGCTGGTAGCACAGGGCTCCAGCCAAGACCATTGCTGGAAGCTGGCAGCTGTTGTTAGAAAGGAAGGCATAGGTCAGATGGAGAAAGGTAGTGCCTACAAAATTGTGTGGGTGGGGGTTTTTGCAGTAACAGCTGGTGCTTGAGAAGGCCATTATAAAAAGTTTTGCAGGAAAAAGTTTTGCTGCAGGAGGAGCTGAAGAACAGGAGTCTCTGTACCTGCCCCAGAAGGTGGAAGATGCAGTCCTGTGTGACCGCTGTGCAGGTGGAGTTAGTTACACAGCTGGGATGGAATCATGATGCTTAAGGGCATTAAGTCTGTTACTTTGCCTCTGAAAAAGGCCAATGTGACTTCTCCCTAAACATGAAAAGTCTTGTTTTAAAGCTTCTCTGGAAAAAAATAATAAAGCTCCTCTGAAAAAGATCTATTCTTACAGGGAAGCCTTTTTTGAGAGCAGAGTTTCTTAACCTTGATTGCACATCAAGTCACAGGGGAGCTTTAGAACCACTTATGTCAGGGTCATATCCCCAGAGCCTGATTTAAGTAATTTATGTGCATTCTGTTCAGTGGGAGTTTAAAATTCTCCCCAGATTACTCTCGTGAACATCCAGATCTGAGATCCATGAGTACAGAGGCTAAACATCCCACAGAGCAGAGTCTAGAGGCTTGGGAAAGACATGGGCTCAAATTCTGGCCGCTGTGTGACTTTGGGAGAGTCACTTAACCTTTCTGAGGCACAATTACTTCGTCTGTACAACAAGTGCATTATTTACTTTCTTAAACTTGCTGGATGGATTAAATGAATATGTAGAGTGCATAGGACAGAGGTTCCTGCTCCAACACTGTCAAAATATTCTCTGAACGGAAATGACTGCAGGTCATTTTTTCTAACTGTATTTTCAATAAAGACAGAGATCAGAATATACAATTCTAATCATGTTTGACCTAAAACTGGAGGAGTCAAACATCTGTCTTCCTTCTGGAGGTGTTTCAAAGGTAGTACTGTTGGCTCTATGTGCTCATTTGAAGCCTCTGAACTGAGTATGTTTTTACACAGTTGGTCCCTGACTTCCCAAGTCCTCCTGTTCCCTATCCAGGCAGCTTTTCAAATGCCAGGAAATGTTTTGCTCTCTGAAAACTCCCTGCAGGAAATGACTTTCCTTTGAGAGAGTGTCCACTGACCTCAGTGTAGGGGGATTCAGCCCAGAACACACTCCACTATACTTCTCAAACCACTGCCAACAATCAGGGGCCCCTTCTGGTCCTGCAGTGTCTGGATCTGACAGGAAAGTATGGATCCATCATCTCTAGCCAAGGAGTAGAGACTGCCTGCCTGTGCCCTTCTGTTCTTGGTCTGCCAAGGGGAAAGTGTCCATGGAGACTGCTGGACAATCTGTTTAGGATCTAGAAGTGTGAAAGATAGTGTTTGTGCTTGTGCTGTAATTTATAGAGTTGGTTATTGGAATTTGTCAAACCCTCTGGTTTTCTGACATCCCCCATTAAGGATCCTTGGGCTGAGAGTAGAATGGTACATTTGCAGGCTGCTGATTTGCTGATGTTTGAAAGTCATCAGCAGCCAGTTCATGTCACCAATCCACGTGAATTGTAGTAATCTTTGTCTTTTGAAAAAACTTTCTCATTACTTAAAGAGCATTCACTGAGCACCTGCCAGGTACAGGAGAGTATTGGTGGACATGCTGCTACATGCTGTGGAGCTACATCTAGCCATCTCCCTTCCCAGGAGCCTGGCATGTTTCCCCCAATGACTTGGTCAGAGTTTCCCAGAACAAAAATCAGTCCTGTCTGGGGCTGGCTTTGATTCACCTCTTGTCTTGCCAACAGCTTTTCTAACCCCACCTGGAATGGAGGTCACCAAGGATGGCTTCTACCTGGTTATTAAGCTGGAAGACCTGGGGCCCCAGTTTGAATTCCTCGTGGCCTACTGGAAGAGGGAGCCTGGTGCTAAGGTAAGACTTCTGGCCTTGGCCTTTGAGTCAGACTTTGGGGAAGGAGTCAGGCCCGTGAGAGGTGGTTGAAAGAAGCCAGACCCTGTAGTGGTCACTGTGTGGGGTGGCCTGAGGATGACCAGGCCTAAGTGAAGTGTGAGAAAGAAGAGATGGGAGTAGGCTGACAATCTCAGTAGCCTCTTCTTCAAAGAACTGCCTTGGTTCCAACCCAGGCCTTGGCTGGGTGCCTTCTCAGGCCAGATTGACTGAAGTATGAGGACTGCCTTCTTGCTGTAAACTCAAACATACTGGGATCCATAATATCTTTTCGATGCATTTCTTTCCCCTTATCAGCTTGCCTTCTCAGCATTCTCCCTGACATGTTTAGGTGCAGCAGACCAGGGTGTTCCAGATCAACTGGATGATTTCAAAAGCGTGTGAGGCTGGTACAAGCCTCTTTAGGGTGTGCATCTGGGCAGGGCGCCGGAGTCAGGGCAGAGAGCCAAGAACTGGCTTCTGGATTACCCTAATAAAGAGCTAGTGGATCACAAAGAATGCCTAGATGGGGTGCTGCCCCTCCCTGTGGGACAGCTGCTACATGCTGGGGTGGGTGGGAGGTCAGGTCTCCCAGAGGGAATGGTCAAACAGGAGCAGCCGCACCAGCAGAAGAGGTGGAGCTTGAGCAGGAACTAGGGAACAGTCAGAGCTGTGGAAGCTCTGTGCGAGCTGATATGGTGACAAGGCCCACTCCAGTCAGCACAGACAAAAGTAGACTTTATCATAGGGATTAATATGGTGCAATAAGGAGCTCTCACAGAATCTATGAGAGAGCTGGCCCAGAGCCAGGCTGCAGCATGGCCTCCTTACCCAAGAACCCTGGCCTGTGGAGTCCTTGCTTCCCTCTGCTGGGTCCTCTCTATTGCACTCTTCCTGTGGCCTTCTCCTCAGCTTACTCCCAGGCCCTGACTCCTCATCACTCCTTCTACTCATTCCTGTGGCTGTGCCTGACCAGCCCCTCAAGTCCTCTCAGGTGTGACTCCCCCTCACTGTGTCCTCTTCCCTTTGTCCCTGTTTCTAGGTCCAGATATTGCCAAGACCAAATCCCAAGAGAGAAACTCTGATTGGTCCTGCTTATCTTATCAGGCTAAGCTTAGGGGTAGAGGTTGCTAGCTGGTCTCTGATGGACCCCTCTGAGACCAGGGGTACTCCTGACCTCACAGCATTATCTTGGGGTGCAGGGCACATATCCCAGCACCCATTCAACAGGGGCAGTAGGTTGAGTAGCTTCCTCTGGAAGGTGGTATGGGTAGGTGGAATGGGCATTAACACATGGTTTCCAGTATTTACTCCTGTTGGGTCAGGGCCCAGTGGTAGGACACAGCATTGCCAGCCAGGCAGATGGAGTGGCGTGGGGGACAGATCAGGACCTGGGCAGGAAGGAGCATGTGGCTTCCTCAGATTCTCTGGGATGGAGCTCTCTCTCTACCCTTGGTAACTGGGAGAGGAGCATGCAGCCTGAGTCATCTGGGCTTTGTCCAAACAAGCCTCCACAGATTCAGACATGGAGCACAGGCCTCAGGGGATGGGTAGAGTGGAAGGATGTATGGATGGATAAACAGACAGGTTGATGGATGGATGTATGAGGAGGCACTGCCCACTAGTTCCATTGCTCCTGTGCACTCATCCCCACCCTGGGTCAGTCATATTTCCAACCTTCAGTTCTCTGCCCCTGTTGTCTTATCAGAGAGGTCTTCCCCAGCCATTCTTTTTAGTGCATCCTCATTACTCTGCCTTCTTGTTCTGCTTAATTTTTCTTACCACCACCTGATAAATATCACATATTGTCTGTATTCTCCCACATAAGTTCCATGACAGCAGTGCTTGGCACATAGTAGGTGCATAATAAACAAACATGAATGAATGAATGAGAAGGAATATTTTGTATGCAGCCTAAAGGAAATATCTGCAGCTTTCTTTCCCTGGCTCATCTCTCCCTTTCCTGTCTTGCTTCCCTCAGTGTGTAACTGTTTTCTGCTCTCCTAAAGGAACATGTCAAAACAGTGAGGAGCAGGGGTGTTCCAGTGCACCTGGAAACCATGGAGCCCGGGGCTGTGTACTGTGTGAAGGCCCAGACATTTGTGAAGGCCATCGGGAGGCACAGTACCTTCAGCCAGGCAGAATGCATCAAGGTGCAAGGTAAGGATGACCTGTCTTTTCTCTGGAGTCCTGCACAGGTGACAGTACCTCCTGAAGGATGCTCACTGCCTGCTGGGTTTCTTTGGTTCTTAATCTCCCCTGGTCTCACTGACCTGCTTCCTGAGTCTGGATGGATTCCTGTGGTGAAACTGTGCTCCCCACCAGGACTATAGGGAAGCATCCACCCTGGGGCTGGGTGGGGTCACTTGAGCAGCTGTCTGGAACACATTCCTCTGAAAGGTCCCTAGGCCCGAGGCCAGATATTGCACATTTGACTTACCAGGTGAATTGTGGGGAGTTGCAGGGAAGACAGCCAGGAGCTTGAGAGTCAAACCATGTGAGGAGGCCACCCATTGTATATCACAGCTGCTTTCAGCTAGGAGGGACCTATGAGAAATCTATAGACTCCTCTTGTTTGACTTAATTTTTTTCCCTTGAAATTTTTTAAGGTCTAAAACCCCACAATGTTTAAAAACCCTTGGTAAATATACAAAACAAAACCCTACATCTCCTGATTCTGACACTCAAACACTACTATGAACATTTTTGTATACAACTTTCCCGCCTTTAACAAAATAATTATTATTTTGAATATTTAGTACATTAATGAGTTTCAAAATATATAAGCTACACATGGAAGCTCTCTGTTCTATCTTTCTTCTTTAGCACAAATGGCAGCATACTCTATGCACTAGTCTGGATCCTGTCTTTTCCACTTTATGTATCTCATAGATTTGTCCATATCTATACAGACCTTCCTCATCTTTCTTTATGGCTACATAGTATTCTCCTTGTGTATATATCACTAATTTAAGTAGCTTCCTATTGATGGGCATTTAGTCCCCCCGCCACATAAATATTTTGCTACCACAGGCAGTGCTTTAATTAGTTACCGTGCACATAGATCGTTTGGCTGGTACACTTGAAGGATAAATTCCTGGAGGTAGAAGCAAACACATATGAAGTCTGACTGCTGCCTCCAACTGCTCTCCAAAGGGGTGTCATCCTGCCATCACTGCCCAGGTGTAGACACACATGGCAGGTGGATTGCATGTATGCTTTGCGTCTGCTTTTCCACAGATAGCCATCACATTTCCCACACAGATTTTCTGATTGCCATTTTGTACTACTGTTTCAACTGTGTAAGTCAAGCTTGTTCAAAAATTCAAACGACACAGAAGTATATAAAGTAAGAGGTACATGTTTTCCACTGAGGAGGTTTATTTTGGCAAGTTTGGCATTTAACCTGCTAGTTACTATGTGATACCAATACTCAGAGGCACAAATGGGTCTGTACTTTGTCTACTGTTCTGTTTGTTCATTATCTTCACTTAGTGGTATATTGTGAACATCTTCCATGTCAGCACGCACAGAACTACCTCATTTGGAAAGAAGATGCACAATGAGCCAATGCATGTACATGCCGAAATATATGTAATTAATGGGCATATTTTGTGCTTTCCAGTCTTTGTTACTGCAAACCATGCTGTAGTGAACAAGCTTGTATATATCCTAATGCACATTTTAATAGCTGAATTCTTAACTTACTATGCTGATGTCCCATAATAAACCAAGTCATCTTCTATTTAGGGGTATTTAAGTCATCTCCATGCCTCAGGTCATTTCCATTTGCTTTTGAAGATGGTAGATGATCATTGATTGATTGACTGATTCATTGAATGAATATGGAGCATTGACTATGGGTCACAGGCTGGTTGAGTCCCTGGAATATAGCCGGGAAGTCCCTGCTCTCAGGGAGCTTACCTTTTAGTTGGAGAGACAGGCTACAGACAAGTAAACAAATGAGATAGCTTCCCTTGGTGGTACGTGCTATGATGAAAATACACAGCATGGCAGGAGGTGGGGGATATGTAGGTGTGTGACTTTGGGCAGAGATGAGACTGGTTATGAGGCTGATGAGAGCAGATGTTGCTGTGAGCTGCTTTACACATATCATTGTTTCCTTTCTTGGAATTATTTATTTTTTTGGAATCTACTCTCAAAAGTGGATGAACGTGTGTGAACATTTATTTGTATATCTCGATGTGTACTGCCAAAATATTTTCCTAAAGCATTGAAATAAAGTGCAGTGCCCCTAGGCCCATGTGTGAGGCCACCACCTTCTCTGTAGCCTGACTGGCTGTGCTGCCTTTCACACTGCGTGAGCAATTCAGCCTAGAGGGCCTAACGGAGTTGCTTGAGGCTATAAGATGGAAAAATAACCCATCCCCCTTCTGCATCTCCAGATGCTCCCACTTGGTATTTTCTGATCCATTTACTTAGTAGAATGACCGTAGGCTTGGGTGCCAGCCCTACATGTGTGACCTGGAGTAAGTTCCTTAACTATAGTAGGGGCTTAATATATGATAGTTATTATGTGACTATTTTCTGAACTTAGTATTTTCTTCCATAAGATGAATCAGAGCCAGAAGCAAATTGTGAAACACACTTTGTTTCAGTTACCGCCCAGTTCCATTCCTTGCTGTTCTTTTTTGGCACCTCCCCCTCATCCTTCTGGGAGCCTGGCACTCGGCCCTCCTTCTGGCAGTGGCCCCAGGTTCAAAATGGCTGGGGGCTTAACAGTTGATACTCCTCCCCTTTCCCAAAAACAAGAGATTTTAATCTTCTTGGGGCTTTCTGGAAACCAAGCCTTAATTTGGATTCTAGAAAAATGGTTTTAATGGTGGTAATTTTAATCACTAGGGCATACATCAAATCTCAGGATGTTGGTATCTGCTGTCTTACCCATGTGCAGAACCAACTCCAGGAAAGTGAAGGAGGCCCTGGATTGGAGATTTCATTTTCACTATGTCTCCTAAGCCTGTTCTTATCTTTATTTGCAGAAGAAACTCTCCCCCTAGTGCTGGCCTTGACTGCATTTGCTGGCGTTGTACTGATCCTTGTGGTTGTGTTGCTCTCCATCTGGAAGATGGGCCAGCTGCTCCGGTACTCCTGCTGCCCAGCAGTGGTGCTGCCCAATACCTTGGTAAGAGTGTCTTGTTTTCCTTTCAGCATGATGCTGACCAGATGTAGTCTGGGCTCTGGTTGGTCATTGGCACACAGTTTCCTGGTCGACAAGCACTTGCGCAAGAAGGGCAGAAGGGCATGTACAGGACTTCACTTCTAATTAGAGGGGCTGGGAGAGACCTCCCTTCTCCAGAGAGTGGGGACCTTCCTCAGTAAGGCCACTGTTGCTCACCCCCAGGACCTGGCATGGCCAAGAGAGTGGGTGTGTTGCACAGCCTTGGTGCTTGGCAGTTCAGAGTCACACCCAGTCTCACCCTTCCAGACTGGCCTGACGAGTGTTCTTGGCCCCTTCCCATGGTTATAACAGCAGCTGCATCCAGTAACTTGTTCTGACACAACTTATTCAGTTCTCTTGCCAAGGACCTCATTGGCTCTCAGGGTGAAGTGCATGGGTATGAATGTGGGAGCATAGACTGTGCTTTGCCTTTGGCTGGGGGCTGGAAAGAATCTGGACCTGCCTAGTAACTACCAAAAGTTAGGGTCCTCATCTGTTTTCTCAGTCCCTTGCAAGCCCAGGATTCTTATCGTACTTCCAAGGACACTGGTCTGCAGGTCTAAAGCTCTCTGGTGGGGGCAGGTCCTGTGTGCCCATGCCAGTATCAGGGAGAAGCACAAGCAGACCTTATTATAGGGAGTATAATACTATAGGGTATAATAATATAGGGATATAACACTCCCTTATAATTGGAAGTTCCATCCTGGCTGCCTCCCATGCCCCTAACCCCAGACCTCAACAAACAAAGCAGCACAACCCCCCCCAAAAAAAAAACCCAAAACAAAACAACAAACAAAAATGAACTCAGAGATTTCTCACAGCTGTCTCCTGCAAGGAGGGAGTTAGCAGTCGGCTTCCTAGAAGCAAGGAGAACTGGAACTGCCTGCAAGCATTCCTGCAGTCCTACATCAGCCTGGAATCACTTTCGAAGGTGTCACTCTTGTGACAACTGCATGGCCCTGATAGTGAGGCCCATACTCTCCCTACACGGGAGGAATGATTCTCCCTAATCCAGTCTTCAGGGCACCCCATTACCTTGCTACCCTAAGTGTGCTCGTTTCTCTCCATTACTTCCAGGTAATCATACCCTTAGGTGAGACTAGTGCAGAGTTAAGCACCAGGCAGTATTCTAGGGCTTTGCATACACAGCATCGACTCCTTTCATTTCCCACTTTTCATAATGCTTATCAATGTGCTGTTCATCAGTCCCCCCACCCCACCAGCACACTCTGAATGGTTTACTAAATTGTTCACAGCTAAATACGAAGGCCATGTGGTATGTGAAACACAGGAGACAGGGCAGGCCTCATTCCCTTCAGCAATGACTCGAGGGGCTCAAAGATCCCTGAAGCAGAAAGGGATGTGTATCCTGCAGTGGTTGGGGTAGTGTTTTATAAATGTCAATTAGGTCAAATGTTGGATAATACTGTTCATAATTTTTCTATAGTTCTATTAGTTATTGAGAGAGAGAGACAACAAAATGTCTAATATGAGTGTGGGTGTGTCTGTTTCTCCTTTTATGTCAGTTTTTCCTTCACATATTTTGAAGCTCCATTTTAGGAGTATACATATTTATAGTTGATACATCTTCCTGAGTAATTGGGCCTTTTATCATCATGAAATGTCCCTCTTTATCTCTGGCAATTGTCCTTACTTTGATATTAATATAACTTTTTTGGTTTGTTTACTGTTTGTATGGTTTATCTTCTTTCCATATTCTTACTTTAAACTTATCTGTGTCCTCATATTAAAAGTGTATCTCTTATAGCAGCATATAGTTAGCCTTTTAAAAAAATGAATTCATTCCAACAATCTCCATCATCTAATTGGAATGTTTAGTCCATTAACACTTAACTCTCATCCTGTCATTTTCTAACTTTTGTGTTTCACTCAATATTTGTTTTCTGATTCTTCAAGCCAGTAAAGCTATCATTATTCATGGTGCCAAGAGAGATCTGCCCTCAGACAAGGAACTGTAAACAATGGGAAACTCACCTAGTGACATTCCCTTTTTCCAAGTGTCAACTTTTGGTTGCTTGCTTTTAGAGAGAGAGGCAAGGAGAGAGAAAGATAGAGATAGAGATAGAAAAAGAGAGGGAGAAACATCGATTGATTGCCTTTTCCTATGCATCCCAACTGGGATAGAACCCGCAACCTAGGTATGTGCCCTAACTGGGAATTAAACCTGTGACCTTTTGGTCTATGGGACAATGCTCCAACCAACTGAGCTATACTGGTCAGGGCTGTTTCTCCCTTGATTTTTTAAGTGGAAAATTTTTCTGAGTATATGCACTTCTCATGGTGCTGTGTGAGCAGATCTGTAGTGTCCATTAAATCCCAACAGATTCTGGAGCGGTCTGTCACCACTGTCTTCTCTCCCTCTCAGACTTGACTTTAGTATAGTGTAGCTGCACTTCACATTTGTATTAGTTATAGATAATCTTCCAAACTATTAAAAATCAACTTTCAACCATCTTTGCAAAATCAACATGTCTTTCCAATTAAACCATAGACAATTACCACGTGGAAATTCTTGACAACTCTTTTAAAAGCCCTATTGAGTTTGTAAGTGTTTAATTTATCTCTTTGGATTAACTATATCATGTCTACATCTATAATTTTATAGTTGGTGATGGTTGTCCTCTAAAATATACCATTAAGAATGTCTTTGCATTTAGCAAGAGCATAAAATGGAGTAAAAATAACCTATTAAATAAATGGTGTTGGGAGAACTGGACTGGTACATGCACAAAAATGAAACTAGACCACCAGCTTACACCTTACACTAGAATAAACTCAAAATGAATAAAAGACTTAACACATAAGCTGTGACACCACAAAAGTCCTAGAGGAAAACATAGGCAGTAAAACTTCAGAAATTTTCACCAATATATCCTCTAGGGCAAGGTAAATAAAGAAAAGACTAGCCCTGGCTGGTGTGGCTCAGTGGATTCACCGCCAGACTGCAAATGAAAGGGCTGCCAGTTTGATTCCCAGTCAGGGTACATGCCTGGGTTGTGGGGCAGACAGGTCCCCAGAAGGTGGTTCTCAAGAGGCAACCACACATTGATATTTCTCTCCCTCTCCTTCTCCCTTCCTTCCCTTTTGTCTAAAAATAAATAAATTTTTAAAAAGACTAAATAAATAAGAGTACATCAAATTAAAAAGCTTCTGCACCACTAAAGAAAACATCATCAAAATGAAAAGGGGATGGACAGTATGGGAAAATATATTTGGCAATCATACCTCAGACAGGGTTTGATCTTCAAAATACAGGGTCTAGCATAAGTAATGCCTGGTTGAGTATAGTTGGTAGGGTAATATAATGGGTATAATAATTTATAGTTTTAATTTGAACATTTCACCTAAAATGCCATATGGTGTGATTGAGTGTGATATTGTTGTGTTATAGAATTAAATGCTTGTGATTTTCTAATAAAAGATTTTATAATAAAAAAGGGGCATTGTGCTGGACTCTATATATAAAAAACTCATAAGACTCAACATCAGGAAGACAAACAATCCAATTAAAAAATGGGCAATGGACCTAAAGAGACACTTCTCCAAGCAGGACATACAGAGGGCCCATAGACATATGAAAAAATGCTCAATATCACTAGTCATCAGAGAGATGCAAATTAAAACCACAATGAGATGCCACCTCACACTGGTCAGAATGGCCATCATTAACAAATCAACAAAAAACAAGTGCTGGCAAGAATAAGGAGACAAAGGGAACCCTAGTGCACTGTTGGTGGGAATGCAGACTGGTGCAGCTACCATGAAAAACAGTATGGAACTTCCTCAAAGAACTAAAAATAGAACTGCATTTTAACCCAGCAATTCCACTGCTAGGACTATACCCTAAGAGCCCTGAAACACCATTGCAAAAGAACCTATGCACCCCAATGTTCATAGCAGTACAATTTACAATAGCCAAGTGCTAAAAGCAACCTAAGTGCCCATCAGCAAATGGGCAGATCAAAAAACTATGGTACATTTACACAATGAAATTCTATGCAGCAAAAAGAAAGAAGGAACTCCTAGCCTTCATGATAGCACAAATGGAACTGGAGGGTATTATGCTAAGTGAAGTAAACCAGGCAATGAAGGATAAATACCATATGATTTCACCTAAAAGAGGAAGCTAATGAATAAAACAAATGAACAAAATAGAATGAGGGGAATGGAAACAAGCAGCAGACTGACATCAACCAGAGGGGAGGGAGGAAGAGCATATGGGGGGAAAAAAGGGGAAGGGGCTAATCAACAAACAGGTGTAAATGACCCATGGATGTAGACAACAAAGTGAAGATTGACTGGGAGTGTAGGATGGGGGTTGGGGAATGAGAAGGCAATAGGGGAAAATTGGGACAACTGTAATAGAACAAAAATAAAAAAAGAATGTCTTTGCATTCAAGTTGATATCACCAAGTAACATTCTAAAGCAGAAATATATATGCAAGGAAAATTATATGAACAATTCTCAGTATATATACCCTGTTTTAAAATATAATTTTTTTCCTTGTCTTTCATCCATAATTGCTTCATGGGTATGGAGGCCTTGGTGCTAAAGGGTCTTCCTTTCCTTTCCATGACTCACTTTACTCTGTCTCTTCCTGTTTGAAAACCTTACTTGAAAATTTAACTCTAACCTGTGGGACAATAGTTTTGCACCTCCTGAAATTCTGAGGTTATATGATTTTACTTTAATGTTCTAGAACTATACTCTCCAATACAATGGCCACTTGCTAAATGTGACTGTTAAGCTCTTGCGACGTGGCTCGTTCTCACTAGGATGTGCTATAAACATAAAATACACAATGGATTTTAAAGAGTCATTTCAAAAGAAGAAATGTAATATTTTATTAATTTTTTGTGTTAATTACGTGTTGAAATAATACCTATTTTAAATAAAATATATTATTAAATTTAATTTTACCTGTTTCTTTTAACTTTTTAAAATGTGCTACAAGAGAATTTTAATTGTGTTATATTTTTATTGGATAATGCTGTTCCAGAATTTAAAAAATAATCAAGTCTAACCACTGCAGAGTTAGGTAGCCAGTGTCCTGAGTTTGCTGGACCAGCAGCAGTGAATTGGTAGTGAGTTCCACAAAGACACCACACTCAGTGAGCCCTACTTGTACATTGTCCTTTCCTGTAATTTGCCCAAGGACACTAAGAGAGAGATCCCCTGAAGCTGCCTCTTTACAAACTATGATCAAGGGTAAAACTGACTTTATGAAGCTGATGTCTCCTGGGGACTGAGGTGTAGGAAACCATTGTGTCTATTTATCTGTGTTCACATGCCACTCTGGGGTGATGAAGGGGAGGGCCAGGGGAGATAACTGCAGAAGAATCTAGTGAATTTGGTGCAGATGAGTAGGCAAGAAATGGTTGGGGGGAGGGTCCCTCTGAAAAGTTGGTACCTGCATTTCTACAGCCAGTTATATCTATGTAATGTGATCACTGGGAGAAAGTGGCAGGAACAGGAAGTATGAGTTGGAAAGGGACTTGTGTTTCAGGGGCCCCATTTCTGGGCTGGGTGCCCTGCTATGTGTGATATGTAGAACATCTCAGACCAGGTTGTTATTTTCAGAGCTCTCTGCTAGAAAAATGTTCGGTTTAAAATATATATATATTTTATTGGTTATGCTATTACAGTTGTCCCATTTCCCCCCTTCCTTCCCCTCCACCCTGCACACCCTCTCCCACCCACATTCCTCCCCTTTAGTTCATGTCCATGTGTCATAAGTTCTTTAGCTTCTGTATTTCCATACCATTCTTACCCTCCCCCTGTTTATTTTCTACCCACAATTTATGCTACTTATTCTCTGTACCTTTCCCCCCTCTCTCTTCCTTCTACTCTCCTGTTGCTAACCCTCCATGTGATCTCCATTTCTGTGGTTCTGTTCCTGTTCTAGTTGATTGCTCAGTTTGTTTTTGTTCTTGTTTTAGGTGTGGTTGTTAATAATTGTGAGTTTGCTGTCCTTTTACTATACATGTTTTTTATCTTCTTTTTCTTAGATAAGTCCCTTTAACATTTCCTATAATAAGGGCTTGGTGATGATGAACTCCTTTAACTTGACCTTATCAAAGAAGCACTTTATCTGCCCTTCCATTCTAAATGAGCAATCTTGGATGTAAGTCCTTGCCTGGAATACTTCTTTCCAGCCCCTTCTTGCCTGTAAGGTCTCTTTTGAGAAATCAGCTGACAGTCTGATGGGAACTCCTTTGTAGGTAACTGTCTCCTTATCTCTTGATGCTTCTAGAATTCTCTCCTTCATTTTAATCTTGGCTAATGTAATTATGATGTACTTTGGTGTGTTCCTCCTTGAGCCCAACTTCTTTGGGATTCTCTGAGCTTCCTGGACCTCCTGGAAGTCTATTTCCTTTGCCAGATTGGGAAGTTCTCCTTTATTATTTGTTCAAATAATTTTTCCACTTGTTGCTCTTCCTCTTCCCCTTCTGGTACCCCTATAATTCGGATGTTGGAACGTTTAAAGATGTCCTGGAGGTTCCTAAGCCTCTTCTCATTTTTTTTTAAAATTCTTGTTTCTTTGTTCTTTTCTGTTTGGTTGTTCTTTCTTCCTTCTGGTCCACTCTGTTGATTTGAGTCCCAGTTTTCTTTCCATCACTCTTGGTTTCCTGTGCATTTTCCTTCATTTTACTTAGTGTAGCCTTCATTTATTCATCTAATTTGTGACCAAATTCAACCAATTCTGTGAGCATCCTGATCACCAGTGCTTTGAACTGTGCGTCTGATAAGTGGCTATCTCTTGGTTGCTTAGCTGTGTTTGCTCTGGAGCTTTGATCTGTTCTTTTGTTTGGGCAATTTTTTTTTTTGTCTCGATGTTTCTGTTATGTAGTCAGTGGCAGAGCCTTAGGTGTTTACCAGGGTGGGGCAACCCAGTTGCTGGGTTGTGACACTGTATGTGGGGGTGGGGTTTGAGGGAACAATGGCACTTGCTCCACTCTCTGTCAGATTTCAGTCCCTTCCCCCAAGCAAACTGGGCCTTTCTGGTGCTGATTCCCATTGTGTGGGCTTCTGTATGTCTTGGGACCCTGTGGGTCTCTCCAATGAACTCTCCTGTGAGGCTGGGAGTCTCTCCCAGCACCTCATCCCCCACAGGTGTTTTCAATCAGTGTTTTGAGGCTTTATTTCCCTGCTCTGGAGCCCTGGGTTGTGTGGCCTGTCTTGCTCCCCAGTTTTGCCTGGTTTATCTGTGTGCAAATGTGGAACCATCACGTCAGCCAGCTGCTTTGCACACAATGCCCCACTTCACGATTGCTGTCTCGCTGGGTCTGCCTGTTGCCATCCCATGCCCAGGGTCTGCCAGCCGCTGCCTGTGTTCCCAGGGTCTCCCAGCCCCGCTGCCATCTTGCACACCTGGGGTTTGTCAGCTGTTGCATTGTGCGCCCGGTGCCACCGCTTTTTTTGCCACGACCCCTCTCCACCTGGCTGCCCAACTCCGCCCCTCCTACCTGTCTGGATGAATGTGTCTATTTTAACTCCTTGGTTGTCAGACTTCCATACAGTTCAATTTCCTGTCAGTTCTGCTTGTTATTTTGTTTCTAAATTGTTGTCTTTATTTGGTTGTACAAGGAGGTACAATATGTCTACCTATGGTTCCATCTTGGCTGGAAGTATAAAGAACATAATTGGGATTTCTGCAATAGTCTCTGCAATAGCTACTACTTTGGTATTACTATTCATCTAATAAATATTCATGCAAATTATTTTTCAGAAAATCACCTCTTCACCCCAGAAGTTAATCAGCTGCAGAAGGGAGGAGGTGGAAGCCTGCGCCACAACTGTGCTGCCCCCTGAGGAACTCTTCAGGACCTGGATCTAGTAGGCTCAGGGAAGCATCCAGATGAAGCTGAGCAACCCAGTCTGTGCAACGCAGGCACTGTGAGGGGAGAAAGGCTGTGCTTCTGTTTTCCTTCAAGGACAAAAGCAGCTAGAGGAGCCTTCTACGTCCATTTCTAGAAGCAACTGTCAGAGGCAGAGTGGTTTGGCAGACAAAGCCCTGAGGGGGGCAGGATACATGCCTGTAGAACTGGATCTATCTGCCATCCACTAGCTGAATAATCTGAGGGAAAGTGACTTTTTCTCTCTGGCCCTCAATTTTCTCATCTATAAAATGGGTGGATTAACTGTTACACCATATGTGTATGTATCTCCAGCACTGGCAGAGCTGTAGGGAAATTGGTAGCACTGTATATTGCGATTGGTTCAGCTTTTCTGAAGAGCAGTATGTAAAAGTAAAACAGGAATGATCAGAGACTCTATACACCAGCTGGCTTGGAGGTCCCTCTTTCCTAAAGGAAGCCTTGAAAAGGAAAGGAAGGATGGGTGCAATGGTGTTGATTTCACTTTAAGCCAAATGCCTGTACAGAGGTGAAGGACTCAGCCTGCTCTACAGTGACTGAGAGGGAGGCCACAACCCCACTGAAACTGGGATATGCAAGAAAGCTGCAGGGACACAAAATACTATTAAGGGTAAATAGTGTGTGACATTGAAGACAGCAGCTAAAATGTATGATGAGAGTGCAATGAAGAGGGATGTCATAAATGTGATATTTGCTGTGTTCCTTTTTCCTGTAGAGTTGTTAAAGTATAGAATTAAAAACAAAAATGGGGTCATCCTGGATAATCTTTTGGGTTTATTTCTCCCCAAATAAGTGGTGTTTAGGGTTCTAGTTACATCAAAAACCTTGAGTCCAGAGAGGCCGCTGAAGACAACCTTTGGTCAGAAGGTGTGGGCAACCCTAGGTCAGGGGTGGGAATGGAAAGAATAAGGGGGCAGTCTCTGACCACATGAGAACCCCGAATGAGGCAGCTGGCCAAAGCCTCACCTGGTCAGTGTGCTCCTGGGTCTTCCTGGAGGCCTCACTTCACAGGAAATCCCTTTGGGGACCTCTTTTCCTTAAAATAGGTGACTCATGGTGTCCCTAGCCCCATTGCCTACCTCTAGAAGCCTCCTCCTGTTGCTGTCCTCCACTAGGAGAGAAAAAAAGGGTCAGAGGAGGAGTGGAGAGGGGAAGTTTTTTGAGGGAGGAAGGGATAGATGGGCAGCTTCTACCCCTCCCAGCTCTGGAGCCTCTGAGCTGGTTTGTCTCCATGCCAACTTCCTGGTCCCCTTCCAGCCAGCTCTGTGGTGGAGACAAGCTAACCGCCTCAGGCAGGTGTTTCCTCCAAGACAGAGGCCTGCAACCCTCTCTCCACCTGGTGGGGTTTCAAGCAGTCAAAGGATGGGCTCTCTCTAGGAAGATGAGATCATTGAAGATCTTTTCCTTTTGTACCATTTTGTATGCTTCTGTGTTTGACTCTTTCATGAAGAGTATTTGTTAATTTTATATTTGGCTTAAACTGTAGACATACTTTCAGTCTGCAAAAATAAAGACTGTGCCTATTACACTGATTATCCATTTCCTTCTGCCCTCGTCCCAGTCCCTCCACCTGGCCACTGTCCCTCTGTCACCTGTCCAAGCCTAGAACCCAGAAATAATCCATGACTTCCCTCTGCTTGAGCCTCTCTCGCAGTTAGTGCCCATTCTTTCATGCCGACATATAGAGGTATACAGAAAGTTCTCTTGGTTATTCTGTTGTTTTCACATGTCTCCAACATGCATTCACTGAGGCCCAAACATACACCAGACATTACATGAGTCCCCATAGGAGGAGGGTGTCTCCTCTAGCTGGTGACATCCTCCTCTCTCCTGGAGCACTATGTTCTGACACTCCAGGCCTTCTTTTCTTCCCTCTGGGACACTTTAACAGGGGGCAGCACAATTAATAACTACAGCAGGACAACAATGAAGACTGACCATGTCCTGAACTCCTTGCTGTTGCTCAACCCAGTAGAGGATGCCTGACCCAAGGATCAAGCCAAGCTTTCTTAGTCTTGCTTTCAGGGAACAACTGCCAGGGTCCAATGAACAAAACCCCCAAAAGGAGAATCCAAAAGGAGAATCTTGGCTGACTTCAACTGACACAATAAATTTGAAAAGTCGTGACCACAAGGATGCACAAAGAGCAAATGCTAGTCCAAAGAATTAAAAAAGATGAATAGAATGCATTTCTACTTAGTCTTATTATTTAATAGTGTTGGGCTTATTGACTCACTGTATCAGTGAAGAATACTAGTAAATGTAAATACACCAATCAGAAGGTATTCTCCACTGCCACCATTTCCTGGCCCAGGCCATGACCCCGGGGCCACCTGAATGCCAGCACCAGCCTCGTCATGGGCTGCTCCACTTGCAATCTTTCTGCCAGGGATTTCGTGCTAACTTCTAAGATCCTTCTACAGAGGGATAGTAGACTATCCGCCTAGCCTCTGTGCTACTCCACTGCATCTCTTAAAACATTTTCCCCTTATTTTTTGTGTGCCTTGTTTTTCCTCAGGCTAACTTTCTGTGGGTGCAGATCTGTTTCCTTTCAAACGGTCTAACTGACTCACTTCCTTCAGGGAAGGTCTGTCAGCTTCTGGAGCCCACCTGGAAGGGAGGATCTCATTACGTCCACGGGTGTCTGGCGCCACCTTGTGTTGGACGCTGGAAAATTCCTTCTGTTCTCACTCTCTGAAGAACGCCTGGAGCCTCCTGGAGAAACAAAGGGAAAGCTCAGACAAATTTCCTAGAATGAGAACTCAATTACATCATAAAACTTAACGAGAGTGCCCCCTCACAAACCTGCACTGTCTTTAGTGGATTTAGAATTTAGTGGCCACAATCTCCTCACTCGTGCTCATTTGAAAGTTGAGCCTTCACTCTGCTCACAAGGCTCTTTCTCCAGGCAGGGGATCTTGACCCCTACCTCACCCTCCTGTCTGTTTTTCTTCCCTCTGTGCTGCCCTTAACTACCTCTTATAAAAAGCCTCCTTCCACCCCTGCCACTCTGTGCCCTATATCTAACCTATCCCTGGGCTACACTGACTTTCTGGGGGTGTTCCTCAGGAAGACCTGTTAAACCACTGTGGCACCCAACCTGTGAAATTTATAAATGCCATACAAGAGCTGACCTAAAATTACAGTTTTCTCTCACTGGCTTATGGGTTCAGGTCCCCAAGCACCTAACAGCAAAGCATGGAAAACCCTATTCTTGCCAGAGGTGGAAGCACGCACATGTGGGACCAGGAGGCTCAAAAAGGAAGACACAGCCCTTCCTGCCTCCCTCAGCGAGAGGTTGCAAGCCCAGCAGAGGCCGTAAAACCCCATCAAGGATCTTGGAGGAAAAACTGAGCTTGGTATGCCAAACTCAGGTACCTGCAAAAAGCCCCCGAGGGCAAGAGCACAAACTCTCCTACTGTGGAGGAGGTATATGTCCCTTGTCCCTCCAGTGGCCCCACTCAGGGAAATTTTTAAAAACCACTTTTTAAAACCTGGTTGTTGGAAAAATGAGTGCCTGTACAAACCACAGGAACTCGCACACTTTCCTCCTGTACTTAAACCACTTATCTACTCTGAGGCCCACACACCTCCAAATTTCTGGGAGGAGTCAGTAAGTCTTCTACTAAACCACGTTAGTATAAGATGAACCCTACAAACATCAACTTGGGTTTCTAGTCTTAGGAGATCATGCCCCAGAACTAAGGCCCTCTGATGTCATCCCACCTATGTTAACAATACGGAACGGCTTTCTCAGGTGAGGCCTGTTTCATTGAAATTAACTTACCACTCTCTCACCTTCACTTTTGAGTCTTGAAATTGGAAATAGTTCAAGATGGAATAGTCCCCTCTCCTCAGATTAAGCCGGGATTATGGACGACCAATGGAGTGGAAGAATACTGGATTTTAAATGAAGAGTTTTAATTTAGCAGATGGCAGCAATAGATGCTCAAGTTTAAGTTTGTGTAACTGTAAGCAGCTCAGTTTTGATTTATGAGATCATTCCTTTTTCAGGTAAAAGGATTTGTCTGTCCTTTCTTCTTCTTCCTCTTCTTTTTTTAAACATTTATTTATTTATTTTCAGAGAGAAGGGAAGGGAGGAGAGAGGGAGAGAAACATTGACTGGTTGCCTTTCACACACCCCCAACTGGGGACCTGGCCTGCGACCCAGGCATGTGCCCTGACCAGGAATCAGACTGGTGAACTTTCAGTTTGTAGGCTGGTGCTCAATCCACTAAGCCACACCAGCCAGGGCTTCCCCCTCCCCCCACCCCCCGCTTTTCTCCCTTCAATATTCTTCTTCTTTTTTTTTCTAGCACATTGTATACATTTTTATATCTTTTTATTTTTATTTATTTTTTATTGAATCTATTGGGGTGACATTGGTTAATAACATTAAACAGGTTTTAGGTATGCAATTCTACAATACATCATCTGTACACTGTATTGTGTGTTCACCACCCCAAGTCAAGTCTCCTTCCATCATCATTTATCCCCACTTTACCCTCTTCTACCTCCCCCTCTTCCTTCCCTTCCCTTCCCTTCCCTTCCCTTCCCTTCCCTTCCCTTCCCTCCCCTCCCCTCCCCTTCCCCTTCCCTCCCCTCCCTCTCCCTCCTCCTTCCTTCCTTCCTTCCTTCCTTCCTTCCTTCCTTCCTTCCTTCCTTCCTTCCTTCCTTCCTTCTTTCCTCTCTTCCTCCCTTCCTTTGCTAACAAAGTTTTAAACTCTGAAGGAGAAATTTAATTTTTGGGTGGCAAAGACAAGCCTAAGGCATTTGGGACACTGGCCTACCGAACAGGAGCAGCTTCAGGTGGAGGGGACAGGTGAATGCAGTAATGTTCTGTTGATCCTGCTTGGTTTCTTTGGGTGGAAATGGACTTGGGTGCTGTGTCTGGGAATGAGTGCTGCAGAGACTCTGCAGGTAGGTCAGAACGCTTGGATAGAGCTCCCACCCACCCAATGGAGGTGGAGGGGTTTGTAAATAATGGTGTTCTGCATTTCCAACCCCAGAGAGTTCCTGCAGTCCCTGCAGAGCTTCTGTGGTTCCCCAACCTCCTCTATACAATCTGTCTCCTGTTTGTTGTACAGAAAG